TGGTTCGGCATATGCTTGAGTCGCCTTATCGGCTTTCCTCTCCACGGGATAAATATGTAAAACCTATTTTAACTCTAAATGATGTATTAACTGTGAAGTATTAGTTCTAGAAAAACAAAGGATTTAAAAAGCAATGACTCAGCATTTTATTATCACAGGATATGTTTACAAATCAAATAATGATGACTCATGCTTAAAGAATTTTGTGGATCAACATAGGTTGGGTTAAAGGTCAACAATGAAAATACCAGAAATTACAATCCTGAACAAAGATGTCGGTTTTCGATTCCTCAGAAATATATATTATTAGTTGTAAATAGATATCATGTGATTTGTTTTCATCTTTCTATTGAATTTAGATAGCCAGTATTTATTATGAAGACTTATGGCTACAGAGTTTTAATAGTTTATTATTACTAAACAATGGTACTAACACCGAATACAAAGTAACATTTCCTACCACAAAAACAATAAAAATACCCAGCCCGAAGGTTGAGAAATGGTGAATTAATAGAGATTTCAATCCAAATGGTTTGGCAATCTAGAATTTGGGCAATAGACAATAAGTTTATTTCATCATGCGAGAAATATGAAACGAGAATATCGGTCGGAGACCGAAGACTTATCGATCGAAACTGCGGTTTCGATTCATAGTGTCATAGTTCGATAGTGACACCGCGTGTCCCATCACTAATTAATTAATAACTCGCTAATTATACGACATAATTCATCCAAAATCAATAGGCTTCTGGTCCGAGATATGATGAATGCACATGCAAATGCATTTGGAGCAGATTCAACCTTGCCTTCGTGAGATATCGCGTGCATCTAACAGACAGACAGACAAAAACCTATCAACATACTTACCGATCTAAAGATCAATAAGTAACTAGTTTATTCTTCACCATACTTAAAATAGGCCCAAAACATACAAATTGCAATAAATTATAGATTGTACATATTTCAGGGTGAAGGAGACGCGCAAATCACAGATTATTTAGTCAGAAAAACACAAATTATTTTACATTAGAATACCAGATTTTAGTGCAATTGACAGGAAGTCACGGAGGGCCTGACCTGGTCATCAAAAATCTGTGACACCAAGATTTAAATTGAAACAAGTCAAAAATATCAGAAATAGAAACAAAGAGAAAAAATTTAACAACAGAGTAGGGATTGGTTTAAATCTTTACGAATGATTTCAAAAAGCTGAATAACTAAATAGAGTTTGATGTTGGTACAGAGTGACCTCAGAAACAGAACCCAGATCATTTAGAACCTATTCTAAAGAGAACATAACTTTTGTGCATATTCTAGATATTACTTAACTCTTGTGCAAAGCCTCCTAGATCACTGAAACTTTTGGATACAATCATACGCAAACAGAAGTGATAAATAAAGTTCTTCCATTTTCGCAGAAGTAATTGAAGAAGTTCATAGGTTCTGTTTTTTTATGGGTACCCTATATATTCATTCAGTCAGGTATAAACAGTCCTGGAACTGGGCTTATATTGAGGTGAATTTCTCTTAAAAATCAAAGAAAGACGCTCTGAGATAACATTGTTTGATTTACAGTAAAAAAGGAATTTTAAGCGATCGACAAACAACACGACTAGCCCACTTAACTTTGGTGTATTGACACAGTCTTTGGCGTATGTACCACCATTTTTGATTCAGTCTGTGGATACATTTGAACACATTAATGGAAAGAACATGAATTACATCAGTGGTGTCGGTGCGCCATATAACCAAATTCGGACATTTAACTGGACCACGCAAAAGAGAGAATGTTGGTATCGCTTAACCTTACAGTAATACAGGCACTGGGCTAAACGGTGCAAGATTCATTGAATCGACAAGAGCAAAAAGAACATTATGTATTTTTAACCATGTGAGCGCCTTTTCCCCCAGATCCCTTATATGTGAACATGAAACCACTCAACATGATTGTTAATTTCGATGACGTCATCATAAAAAACGAATCCATGGAGCCCACAGATAATTTTGAAAAAACTAAAAGCAATAGCTTTCTAGCGAAAAATACAATCTTTCAACCAATGAAAATTTCAAAGCAATTGGTCCAGTAATTAAACAGGAAAGCGATTTTTCCATAACAACGACATAATAACAAAATGATTCACTTGGTGTCCAATAATGCAAAAGCATTATGCCAACACACGGTACTTTTAATAATGAAAATAAACACTGTAAATTATGAAAAGCAATTCTCCAATTGTCTTTCGCTCAACCTTTCAGGATGAGCGACTCTATTTCGGCAATTTTCATCTTCGATACTCATAAAAATTGTATTTCTATAGTAAAAATGCTGCTTGTATTGGACCTTATTCAGAGAAGAAGGGAATGACTAAGCATTATACAAAAATAACAATGAAAGATGTCTCAACAATCGTTGAAATTATGACGCAAACTATGACCACAAATTCATGTAAAATTCAAGAATGTGGTCCGAGTTCAAATAGAAACAAACACATAACACAAGTCTCTATGCATCTTGAGGCTCATATTATGTGGTCTAGCCAAGGACGTCAAAATCAAATTGAAAATCCAAATACAGTAAACAGAACCCAGATAACTTGGAACACATTCTAAATCTAAAGAGAACATATCGGTAATTAATGTGCAAAGTGTCCTAGATTAGTGGGTGAAGCGGTGTGGCTCAACGGGCTAAGCGTTAGGAATACGCTCGCCACCGCACCTCTAATTACTCTGCGTGGGTTCGCAGGTTCGAATCCCATGCAGGGATGGGTATGTGCGAGAGGATTGCTGGACTCCTCGCCGTCGTTGGGTGGTTCACGTAACCGCTGGTCGGTTACGGCTTCCTCCACCACCAAGTCCATGCTTCCGAAAACAAACATTTTAACTAATCCCATACCCGACGAGAGGCCGTGGTTCGCCATATGGATAAGCCATCGTATCGGCTTTCCTCTCCCCCGGGATAAATATGTAAATCCTATCCTTACTGAAATTTCTATTTGCCAAGTAACAGGTCTGAAAACGTGTGGTCTAAAAAGCATTTCAATCTACGAAAAAATTGCTATGAATATATAACACAAATAATGATTTTTCATGTTTCAAAAGAAAGTGTCCAACCAGCAACGACCAACAGAGTACACCTCCCTGCTTCCTATACATTACAAACTAGTTATATTCGATATTCGTGATTTTAAAGAATAATAAAAAACACAAAATGGCTAAGATTGAATGATTAAATATCCTGTATACATTCTGAAATTCACCTTCACGGAAGTCTTTGTTTGCATTAAAAAGATTTCCTTTCACAAAATAGTACATTTATTTCCTGCGCACTTGATTTTTGTAATAACGAATAAACGACTGACTGACCGACTTCAAAAGTAATTTAAAATTATCTCTAAAATAAAATTGACTATGAAATAACATAATATACATGAAACCTAATTTTAAAAGTATTCAAATATCTTATTCATCATGGACGTCCCATGGACACCAAGATTCAATCCGCATTTAAATAGAAAAACATAAAATGATGGAAATAGCAGCACCAACACTTCTAAACTATGGTATGATTATTCTGACCAGTCATGCCTCAGTGATTGCCACTAGGTTGGATCCCGCCTATTTCAGTAAATCTCAACCTAGGTAAATAAATAGCAGCATCAACCCCTCCATATTACAATAACATTATTCTGACCAGTTACGCTTCAATGAATTTCACTGATAGCAACGTCGGAATCAAACTTACACTTGGTCTAGAGTTAGACCACTTTAGTAAGATTTATTAGGCTACATTGAAATGAAGAAATGAAGAAAAAAAGGATTAACTCAACTTTTTTGGACATATATTGGATTATATTAAATTAATGACATCATGGTAATGGTATGAATTTTGTCTTTATTTTGATTTTTACTATTCATATGTATTGGGGGGAATGGGATTAAATTAAAAAATGATAAACAAAAACATGGAAACAAAAAAATATCTATTTATATATTTATAATAAAATGATTTGATACCAAAATATTAATACGAAAATTCTGTTTGGCATTGGAATTTATTTGGCACAAAAATAAAAAAAATAAAATGGAGAAATAAGCGTATTATAACAGCACCAACACTTCTATCTTACAGTTACATTTGTAATAATGAATTTTATTGATAACAAAGTTGGAATCAAACTTACACTTGGTTTAGACAAGTTCACTTAGAGTTAAGCTAAAGTGAAACGGAGAAATGAAAAACAATTTTATAGCAGCACTAACACTTCTAAATTAGGGTATGATTAGTCCGAATTTTGTCAAGTTATGCCTTGTCTACGTTACTTCGACCAGTAATGCCTCAATGATTCTCACTCATGGCAGAGTAGGAATTGAACTTGAGTGAGTGCCTTCAACTTCACCCAATATAAACTCAAATAATAGAAAAACAAAAAGTGAAAAATGCAGCACAAACACTCCTATATTAATACACCATTATTCTGGCCAGTCATGCCCCAATGAATTCTACTATTAGCCAAATCAGAATGAACCAAAATTTCAATTGTGTGATTATTCCCATTCGAGCACAAATACGGTTAAGATTGTGTTTAGGCTTCGTTTACTGCATTGCTACTGCCATACAGCCCTATCCCAAATGTTCGCAGATATTTGTAAATTATTATTTTTAAACAACTCCCTGATAGCGTGACTGTAAATCAATTCCATAACTCAAACGGTCTTATGGTCGTCCTGAAGTCTGAAAACCCTGGGCCGACAAGTACACTACCGATGAATTCCACAGAATCATGATCTAGCTTTAATTAACCAAACGTGAAAATTCCATCCTAATTAAAAATAAACCAAACTCACCAGTAAGTCGAATCTTATTGACAGCGGCTCTCCTTCCATCTGCAGCAGCCATATTGTCTCATCTGAGATACGACTGGGTGATCGTTTGTGTCGTTTTGTTGCCGCAAAGATGTCGTAACACTGGACTAATTTACATTACAAATCTTTAAATAAAATCTAAGTCCAATGCACAATAATCGGAAAACTGTTCTTTTATTCACAAAAAAACATTTTTGGGCACAAAAGCATTTTGGATCTACCTTTTATGGATCCTGGGATGAGTGGAAAGTTGATTAGACGACTAATAGCATTTGGTTAGTCAATTTATATATAAAAAAAAGTTCAGCACATTTCAGTACCATCCAAGCCTTACTTTCACTCAAAACAAAGGCGTAAAACTGATTTTCCTTTTACAAAATACTTGGTAAAGTTTTTTCACATTTTGTTGAGCATGGATTGTTCAATGACGATAGAATTTAGAATATACTAATCAAAATAGCGCTATAAATACTACTGGAATGATGAACAGGGGCCACGAGTGCTGAAAGCCTCCAGAAGGAGGTCACTAGCCATGAAAGGTTGGAAACCACTGTTGTAGAGACATATTGCATTTGCATTTTAAAAACATACAGATGATTTTACTAAAAAATGTCCTTTTTGCAAAGAACGTTTTAATCAATTTGCCCAGTTTGCCACGAGAATATTTTCAAATACACAAGAACCGTCTGATCAGCTTTCCACTCTCACAGGGTAAAAATTAAAATTAACACCAGAAAATAAACACCACGAAAAAATATTGGATCACAACAAGCATATAAACAAAATATATCGGCCGAAATATTCAAACTGTAAAACAAATTTCCTGTGGTCAGTCAAGCATGAAACATCAATGAACCGTAAAAATGAGTTAAAGTCCATGTACGGCCATACTTAACGAAATAAATTCCAACTGAACTGATATTGTACTACATTCATGAATTCATGTAAATTTGCGGAATAATCCTGTTCAAACCAGAGGGAGCTAATGCTGTCAAATTTGGCGACATTGTTCCTATGGTTAAAATGGAATTATTCTTATTAATTCATATAAAATTCATTACGGAATTGTTGCACCACAATGCCAAATGATTCACCCATAACATGGCAGCAAAAATACAAGATGAAAAGCAACGAAGCAAAACAGAATTGCTGTAATGATAACCCATCCCACCAAAAAAGAAATGAAGCATGACTCGTCAGAATTATTTATATGGCAATGCATAATAAAATTGCTGTCTGACAAAATCAATTTTCAGCACAAAATATCTGCTCTGAACAAGGCTTCTGATAAGACTTAACTTGTATATATGGAAATTCTACTTCGATAATTTTAAAATACCAGTTTCGAATATAAACAGATTTTTCTGCATCCAAATACAGGGGGGATAATTCTGGCTGTTATGCTTTATTGATTTTTTGGGTTAGAATGGATTCAAATTGTACGGAATCAGCACAACAAATGCTGAAAAACAAAAATATTATGGTCATGGAAAATTGAAAAGGCTGAATCTTTTCAGATAAAGCTTGATAATTACTTACAAGGACCGAGATATGAACCAGTCAAAAAGGTCAGCTCGGGGCTCAGGAAAGGGGTGCTATGACGGTTTTTTTTCACTCCTAATACAATTTCTTTTGGTTGTCACAGTAAGATGGTAATAGCCAATAAAAAAGGTTCTTGAAACCAGATTTATGCAAGGAAACGCCACGATAGAAATTGCCCGCAGACTCAAAATAGCATTCACAGATTATCCTTATAAAAGTGATTGGTATTATATTGCATTTGAATATTATAAATAAATCTATTAGGCTATAGGTCAAATACCAAAGTTTAATTCGCCAAATCTGACACATTGACTCAAAAAAATGACCAATTTATGGAAAACAGTTATTTTTGTCAACTTTTTTCAAGGCGCTAAACAAATTTCTGGACCTCCTTATTTACTAGGGCTCAAATTACTTTCCAGCCAGCTCTTCAGATCAGATCATTCACACCTGCTCATAACCACCATAAGTTTGTTTGAAGCAAGCTAGAATTCGGGATGACCGAATACTACAATAAAACATAATTTTCAAATTTGGAATACCATATAAAGTTTGGGCGCTCCGGAAGTATTCGTACCAAGATGACACATAACCTGAACAACCCATATTGGTACGAATACTTCGAGAGCACCAAAGTTTGTCCTAATTTTCATTTTATTCTTGATTTCAAGACGTAACTGTTATGGAATTAATCACCGTGTGTGAGAATGCACTTCTATATCATCCCTGACTTCCAGTTGTTTTTAAACAAACAATAGCTGAGATCAACGAATCCAACAGATTGATTTACACAAAATTTAAAACGGGGAAGGGGGGTGTCGGAGGGTTGAAAAATCGAACAAAAAATCAGCGCTTTATCAACAGAGAGAAGAATAATCAAAAACAGAAATTTGGAACATTGTGTAATCTGATACGAATGGATTTCTAAAACATCAGACTTTTCTATACTACCTTATCCACCAAATACCTTCTAATGGGTTGCAAGAAAATTTTATGTATTCACCAAAAAACTGGCAACCCTAAAATGAGACTTTAAAAAAACAAAAAACTAACGGAGATTTCTTTCATTTATGTGACTCATTTAGAAAGTTTTTGAAGAAAATCAAAATGTTGATGAAACAAAAAAGATAGACTTGGAACATATTTGTCTGTGAAAATTTGGGAACCGCGGGTCTAAAAATTTTCAAAAAGTATGAAATATCTATCTGACCTCACTGATAGGACTACGCCCCTCCAAGAGAACAAAACGCACTCAAGCGGAAGAAAAATGAATTACAATAATATCAGTGTTTAATCAGGTTGCGATAATTTATTTGAGAAGTTTATATGCGGATATATTAACAAATGGTCGGTATAATCAAATCAGTTAGCAGTATAGGGTTATTTACCCACTTTGCGATCAAATAAGTCATCGACCTTAAGGTCTAATCACTCAATCCAAAACTTTTCACAACTTCGACAAAATTTGCTCACTAATAAGTGGTTATCAATTTTTTTTGCGCATTTATTAAAATAATTAAAAAAACTGTAGCTTTAGTGCAGATTATAATGAAGACTTGTTCCCGATTCCAGAAGCAATAAACGCAATCTGACAGTAATCTTTTGTACACTTGTACTTGCATTCCTGTCGAACCAGCGCTTTTGGTTCGAATCGAGCTTTTTCTGACAATATTTCCATAATTATCAAAATTCTTAAAAAAACGAGAAGAGTTAAACGCACTTTTAGAACTGAATATGGTGCAGAGCACTGCAGACAAGAGTTGATCGCAAACTGGATAAACACCCTATAGTGAAAGCACGATGAAACGTAGGCTTTATGAATGACACACAGCAACACTACATTGAAACAATTTATTTGGCAGATAATCATAAAGAAAGACTGGCACAAGAAGAATTAGACATTCGTAAATTTTAGTTGAAATACAATTTCTAAAGAATGCTGTTTAGGAATGATTTATAATGATTATGAATTTGGAATCAGCGTTTTATTTTCTGTAGAGACTTAACTTTTGTAACACAATCTTACAGACTAAAATCAATTTATTTTATTATTTAACAAAATGAATCGGATTCAGAAATTCCAAAATCAAAATTATTCTCCAGACAGATTTCTAATACACCATAATTTTTAAATATTCAATAAATTCACACATTGTTACGTGGTAATAATACAGGGTGTTCATAGCATTTAAATTTTCTTATGAGGTCTGTTTCAACATATCTTAACCAGGTTTGTTTTACTTTACTCAGTATACATTGAAAACTCATGTACACTAAATATTGCATCCAAAAATTCCCTTTGCAATTTAAAAAAGACTTTACAAACACACGCGTATCAGTCAAATTATATCCTTTCAAAAATTTTAATTCCAGTTAAGATCATTTTTGATAAAAATGTATAATATCATTCAAAACAAATCCTCGTGACAATTACCAAACATAAAAGTAAATGACAAGTAATTCAGAATAATGGAACAAATGCAGTCTGGTCTAATTCTGTACTATTTCCTAATCATGATAATGTTCAATGAAACATGGTTGGCAGTACTTTCCAACACCGATTAGTAGGGAATTATTCTGCCAAAAAGATCTAATGATATAATGTTCAATGAAGCATGATTGGCAGAACTTTCCAACTCCGATTAGCAGGATATTATTCCGCCAGAAAGATTTAGTGCAAAACTAGACCACATCGAACGAAGATAACAATCATTAACTCAAATTTAGGCTGCAGAAGTTCTTTTCAATGTTGATGTGGGATCCAAAAAATTCTTCCGTTTTAAGATTATTAATGTACAATAGTCCTATAGTGCGGCTGCCAATTCATTTAGTGGTCAATACCTTGTATCCAAGCACCATTTCTCTTTGACACGCTCTCATGACCTGAATTTCCACCTCTCCGTCATCCATTGCCGATTTCAGGTCCTTTGCTTTAATATCTTCAGGCAGCTTAAAATCCAACGTGGTACCGGTAGCGTCCATCACATCCACACGTTCATCATCCTCGTCAATACCCACTAGCGTATATGTAGTGGTTTTGATAACTGGCACATTCATGTTATGAGTAGAAGGGCAGATATCTTCGTACTTCTTTTTATCGAAGACCCCTATGGCGACCATATGAACTTTAGCGTGGCCATGTTTACCGGTCTTGGAGGTTGACATCTCGACAATTTTGCACGGAACATTCTTGATCATTACATGGCCATTCTTGCGGAGTGCTGAGCATTGTATCGGAGTAACTTCTGCAGCTCCAGATCCTTCCGAATCAAACGTGTCGTCATCTAGTCCAATTTGGGCATCGCAATTTTTTTCTGCGGATTTTGCAGCTGTCTTACCTTTGGGCATCCTGAATGACGGGGTAATTAAAGACTTATTGTCAAGTAAGAGACTGCAAAATTAAAATTTACTTTTTAGAAGTTTAAAGCAACTGACCACTCCTACAGGGGTGGTGACTCCTCTACAGCCCATGGGCCGGGGCCACGGCCCATCGAATTAGGCCACATGGGCCGTGGCCCATCAAGCTATGAGCCGCGGGCCCATCAAGAAAAATTCAATTATATTACCAAAATTTTCAATTTTTACAAAATTGTCAATATTCGAATAAAAAAAAATCGCGGTATGCCACCATTTTTTGTACGATGAGCATATATATAAAAATAGCAAAACACAAAGCTACAGAAAAGGATACTCCTGTAGTATGTGTACCAGGTTAGGGTTAGGACAAAATTTTGTTCAGATTATAGTTAGGATAGGATTTACATATTTATCCCGGAGGAGAGGAAAGCCGATAAGACGGCTTATCCATATGGCGAACCACGGCCTCTCAACCGGTTACCATGCCAAGTCGGGTATGGGATTAGTTATATTGTTTGTTTTCGGGAGCATGGACTTGGTGGTGGAGGAAGCCGAACCAACCAGCGTGAACCACCCAACAACGGCGAGCAGCAATCCATCCAATCGAGTCCAGCAATCCGCTCACACATAACCATCCCTGCATGGGATTCGAACCTGCGAACCCACGCAGAGTAATTAGAGGTGCGGTGGCAAGCGTATTTATAACGCTTAGACCGTTGAGCCACACCGCCGCGCCAGTTCTATTATGAGTTCGGGGACTGTCTGTGTTAGGCAATCAATCAATCATTTATTTCAGTACTCTGACATGAAAACAAAACAACACAAAAACTGGACAAACAAACAAAATGCAGAGATACCTGGAAGGCGAGCATAACTTAAAATAAAGTTAAAAAACGTAAAAGCACGCCCGCCCACCAAAAAAAAATAAAAATATTAATACAAGAATACAAAAAACACGATTCAGAATCGGGCAATGCTTTTTAAGGGATCTGTGGACAACTTACACGAAATATAACAAAATTTAGGTAGATAAATTAAATGTAATAGACTTCTGACGACCTCTTCCGTCCAATTATGGTAATCACCTGAATTTACCCCACATATCATATATATTATATATAAATGAAGTTGATTTTAAATATTTGAATGCAGCAACTCTGGGTCTGGAATTCTAGATTGTGTATTGCTGAATAAGTAAATAGCTGTAGGAAACATCTTGCTTTCAAATACATAAAAAAATCACCAATAATTTATCAAATGTACAAACCAGATAAAAAAAATGCATGCATGAAAGGCAGCATGAAGTTTTGAACATTGGAAATAAAGTGTAAATTTGCAAAATCACTAAAAAAATTCCAAATTAATTTCATAGAGAGTTTCTTTGATAAGTTTGCTAACAAATATTGAACACAGCAAATTTCAATAAGAGTGCTATGCAAGTGGGGTCATGCTCCTTATGGTTATGAAATAAGGCCTTAAAAATATGTTAGCCATCATAGAATGATGTTGGTCGAAAAGCACAAAAATAAAGTGCTATAGTTGCCTACAGACAGGCTTGAAATAGCTGCAAATACAAAGCATGACTAGTAGTGCACACAGCAAAAAAGATTAGGGAAGTGTGTCTGGAAAAAATAAAATATAGCTATATACATTGGAACCATTTGCCAAAACAATATTCATACAACTACCAATACTGGTAAGCAACATTAAGATGTAGAAGAATTTATCAAAACAGTAAAAGCAGGTTCAATTACACACTCACACAATGAAATAGATCACAAACCGAATGTAAACATTGACGAACAAAATTGAAAAAATGAAAAATTACATTTCAGTGTGAAGGGAGACGCGATAAACCAGAGAAGGTTATCGAGCAGCGTCACCTTTGAGGCAGTAAGTCTAATCATAATGAGAAAGAAGTCAAACATAAAATACTAACAAAAGCCGGACTTGAGACGCCATTAAGCAACCCGTTAACCCGGATAATAACGAGCCTCGATAGTTTATTTCAAAAACTATACCTTTGAGCAAAAATAAAAAAGTGATGGAAGAAAAGTTAAAATATGCTTGTATCCTAAGTGCCACATAATCCAAGTAAAGTGGTTGAAAATGTGATTAAAAATATATAAATTATTGTCAGTAAAAAGAAAAAAAATACCACCAAATAATATCTACTGAGTAAGGATATAGCTCATAAGTAAATAGCCAAGTAAATAGTCCCTTTGCACAACTTGATGGGCCGCGGCCCATAGCCTGATGGGCCGAGGCTCAATTAGATGGGCCGTGGCCCCGGCCCATGGGTCGTAGAGGAGTCACTACTTCACTCAGGTATCGCCAACCTGATTAGTTTTGTAGTCATATATAAAAAAATCCAACCCAAGCAACGATTCACCGAGCGATAGGACGCGATTGGTCATGTTTAACGGATTAAGACACCGTTTTGTCCACCCTGTTCCCTTTTCTCACCACTAAATGAATAATTATCATTTCACCGTCGAAATTATCGTTTCTGGATTTTTCTAGCAACCGTGGCACCCAGACGTTCCAAATCATTCCAGTAACACTAAAATCCGGAACGGCTGCAGTATTTTTTTAAGTTATAAATATACCAGCAGTTTAAATTCGAATTATACCTCACTATTTTTATTTAACGTTTTGCATAATATTAAATTTTCAAAACATGAAAAAATCATTGAAAGTCCCACAAATGAAGTCCGAACAATTTCCGGTCCGCCCGATTTTGCTGACGAAACAGTTGTTGCGAAATACCGCCCAGGGCGGGCGATTGCTCAAAGGGAACACGTTTGTAACACGCATTCCAAGATTTTAGAGTTGCCAGTATTTAGTGAGCAGTAATTTATTTTTCTACCAATAATTTAGCTGTTCAGCACTGACGAATTAACAACAATTTCGATAATTTTTTGTTTTTCGTTTTTAAAAATAAAATTAAGGTTTTATTCATAGATATTCAAAATTGATTGTTGTAGCGCGATTCCGAGTAGATGCTTAGAAATAATATCTACGTATTATTCCCTCCCCGTGATATAACATAATTCATTAATTTATAATATAATTTTAATGAGACAAGATTGAATGGAATGTTTATATTAATTCCGAGGGAGAGAGGAAAGCCGACAACGCGGAAAAATCATATGGTGAACCAACGACTAACATACGGGTGAACCATCCCTCTCATCCGGTCACTAGTCCATGTCAGGTATGGGTTTAATTGGTCAGTTATTTGTTTCATATGCATGGACTTGAAGGGAGAGAATGCCGTAACTCACCAGCAATTACATGGGCCATTTTACGACAGCAAGAAATGCAGCAATCCTCTTGCACATACAGTAATTATGCCACATTGGATTCGAATCCATTCGCATGATAATAAGTGGTGCGGCGGCACGACGAGCCAACCTTCGCACAAAAATGAATGCTTACTCAGTAGGGATGGCGAAATCGAGTCCGGATTAGAGATGTACCGATGTATCGACAATATCGGCCAAAGTTTTGGTATCCGTAGTGTATCGGTATCGGCTAAATTTAGACCGATATTTCCGATATATTTATTAGCTTCTCAATATGATCAAGAATGTTTCAAAAAATAGGTTCGAATACTGTACTTGAACTTATTTTTTGCTTGAATAGATCGTGAACTATGAGCCATCGTATTCCGGCCTGTTTCTAGCTATTTATCAGTCAATCTGGCTCAATCAGTTTGAGTATTTTCGCTGCCAAAATTTTATATTAGAATTTCAGGATTCAATGGTAATTATGAAGAAATATATCAATCGAATATTAGTGGATGTTCCGATGTGTAAAATATATTTACGACGTTATATTGCTACAAAATCCTGCACACGTAACTCAATGTATCAGTTTCATACGGTAGGTAGGCTAAACATTCATTAATTTTACCACCGACAGTAGCCAAATCCTATTAGTTTTCTAATTGAACACCGAGATTACTAGCGCCAGTGCTCAATGCATCTGAATCGTCTAACGTATTTGGATCCCAAACATCTACTTCCTAATATATATAATTATATATATATGTGTGTGTGTGTGTGATATTTCTATTTTTTTTTATCCGAAATAATGTGCACTATTATTATTGCTCAGAGACTATTGTCTTAAACCGACTGTCTTGCACACATGAGGTAATAATTACATAGTATCGGAATATCGGTCGTTTTCGAATATCGGTGTATCAGTATCGGTATCGGTCTTTTCAGCTGATATCGAATCGGTATCGGCGATAAAAGTGGTATCGGTACATCTCTAGTCCGGATTCGATTACAGACTCGATTCTTTGCGGAAACGACCAGAAGTTAAAACTTGGATTGTAAACAATGTGTAACGTTTTGTTTCAATTCCTTCACATATATGTTTAAACTGCTTTACTCCTATGTTGAGTTGCTACGACGCCGCAAACTCCACTATATACTGTATATATATTTCACTAAATAGCTTTTACGTTTATTTATTTCTAAAATCTCTGTGGGTTCTGAGGGATTCTTTTTTTTTTGTCGGAATCGCATCCCCATTTACCTGTAATTGGTCTATGATAATATGTAAATTATTCCTTCTCTGGAAATTCGGTGTAAATGTCGTGAAAGGCTCAATATACAATATAACACGCTAAGTCTTCACACAGATGCAAGTCGATAACAAGCCATGTTACGTGGTATTACCGCCCCTTCCATCTACACTTCTCGCGAAGGTCTATTCCAGGGTAGTCCAAGGTTGTTGCCTTCGCGGCACACACAATTATTTTTGCATTGTTCGCGGGCCACAATAGTGTCAGAAATAGGTAAACAGGGCAATACAAAACAAACACTTTTATATTGCAAACAATTGATCATTGTTTGTCATTTATCAAGCTAAAACATGCAAAATACTCCAGAAAGATCACTGAAACCTTTATCTACATTTAATATCAGATTTCTTCACAACGGAGAAAGTGCTCCCGCAAATGTAAGTGCTCTCGAACATGGATGAGGTTCTCAAGGCAAAATTTGGGAATGCTAACTGCTCACATGATAGCAAAATGGCGTTTTAGACT